CCAGACTTAAAGTGAGAATCATAGCACATAAAAACGAATATAAGGTAAATCCTTCCTGTATTTAATAAGAGAGAGAGAGTGAAAGAGAAATATAAATGTATATTCACAAACTATTATATATATATATATATATAATATATCTACAAACCTATAAGTACTAATTATTAATTTTAGGAGCTTATAACATGTATAAATGAAATTTGAGGTCTGCAATAAGTGATTAGAGCTCTTACTCACCATATTTACCAATCAAAAAATTCAAGAGCAGATAAACTTTTGTCTTTCTTCTTATAACTCAGAGAGTTTGGAAGTTCAGAGCATATGAAGTAGATTAGAATTTCTAGACAAGTTTTTGGAGATAACAATGGCAGCTGTTTCTCAATTTAAGATGATGTGTAGTACTGACCAACCTCTCTATTATATAAACATGAGTACAATTAATAGGCTAATATATATATATATATATATATATATATATATATATTAGTAACGCTCTAAATCTAAATTTGGGAAAATTACATTTATGAGAAAAAAATTTGAGCAAATTACATTTATGGAAAAAAAAAAAAGATTAAATATGTAAGGCCTAAAACCAATCCCAAATTAAGCTAAATTATGCATTAAAATGTTAGATAATTAATAATTATCCTAAATTGAAATTTAACTAAAATGATTTCTCAATACAAAAACAAATTTTGATTGAGTGGAATTCTTTAAATCAGAATCCACAATTAAATTTCCATTGTGTAATTTATTTTTCAAAATCTATAAAAAAAATAATAATAAATAATTTAAAATAATTAAATCAAATAGATTTTATCAATTATACCAAAAATAGATGTAGTACGTAATAAATAAATCAAGTTTCCAAGCCAACATTTAAGATTAAGACATCAAATTTCCACAAAGTTCAAATTAAAGTCTTAGTCTTTAGTAGCTATAATCACATTATATCTCTATAACAATATTCAAAATTATATATAACTTCTATGGCATAAGTGATACGGATATTCATGTATCATAGTCTAAAGTTATACTTAATTTTTATGGTGTAGAGTTAAAATATATATATATATATATATATATATTCATGACAAATTTTAATTTTTACCCTGTTGGTAGGGCTATATTATAATTGTAGCGCCCGGAAAGGAGCCGAAAAAAAAAAAAAAAAGTCACGTCGGCAGTCACGTCAGCAGGCCTGGTCAGCAGTCCCGGCCAACCGGGACCTGCCACGTGGCAAGACCACGTCATTCCAAAAAGGACCACGTTGGCGATCCGCGTAGGCACGATCGGATGGCCCAGATCAAGCGTGCAATCGGACGGCCCAGATTTAATCAAAAATGGACGGCCCAGATTAAAACAAAATGGACGGCTGAGATCAAAAGGCAAAGGGTTATAAATAGAACCCTCACACCAGACCACAAACCCTAGCCGCCTGCCGCTCGCCGGAGAAGACGAACCAGAAGCCGGCCGCCGCCACCGCCGCCGCACCGGGAGAATTTCGACGGCCGATCGAGGTAAATTTCGTACCCCGACTCGTTTTT